TATTTATTTATTTATTTATTTATTTATTTATTTATTTATTTATTTATTTATTTATTTATTTATTTATTGGATTTTTACCCCGCCCCTCTAGACCATGTCTACTCATGTCTAATCAGAACCTCTGTTATTAAGCACTCCCTTTGGATAGCATCTGTGACATCAAGGAGAGAAAGTAACACTTCTCATTCTTCTCTTATTTTCATGTAATATTCTTACAACTGCAGAGCTGGAAAGGGCCACTGAGTCCAGACTGTCTCAAGGATAGACAGAAAACTATAGCCTGAAGGCAAATGATACAGTTGACCACATGTGTGCTTGTAAAAGCGCATCCCGTTCTTGGCATTATTTCTATGTTTATCCGTTTGCATTTCTCGAGCAGGACAAAGGTTTCTGATTTCACAGTATAATGATCCATGAAAATATATAAATAAAATACATTGTATCAGTTCACAGGAAGGAAACAAACAAATCAATATGGCAGAGGTAAGCCGGTTGCTGTACAAATATAAAAGCTAAGACAGAGAATACAGTTGTGCCCCGCTTTACGATTACCCCGTTTAATGACGAATCCGCTTGACGGTGAGGTTTTTGTGATCACTTTTGCGATCGCAAAATGATGGTTTGAATGGGGTTTTCCCACATTGTGATGATCGGTTCCCTGCTTCGGGAACCGATTTTCGCTTTACGATGATCAAAAACAGCTGATCATCGGGTTTCAAAATGGCTGCCGGCTGAAGAAAATGACCCCCTGCTGTGCTTAGGAATGGATTCCTCGCTGCACAGGCATGGAAAATGGCCGCCCCTATGGAGGATCTTCGCTGGACGGTGAGTTTTCAGCCCATAGGAACGCATTGAACGGGTTTAAGTGCATTTCAGTGGGCTTTTTTATTTCGCTTTACGATGTTTTCGCTCCACAGCGATTTCGCTGGAATGAATTAACGTCGTTAAGCGAGGCACCACTGTAATTGAGTTGGAAGGGGCCTATAAAGCCATCAAGTCCAACCCCCTATTCAATGAAGGAATCCAAATCAAATCAGGTCTGACAGATGGTTGATCAATTTTCACTTGAATGTCTCCAGCATTGGAGCACTCACCACTTCTTGGTTCCACTGTCATACTGCTCTAACAGTTAGGATGTTTTTCCTGATATTCAGCGGAAATCTCGCTTTCTGTATCTTGAGCCCATTGTTATGTGCCCTGCACTCCCTGTATCTTGATCCCATTGTTATGTGCCCTGCACTCTGAAATGATTGAGAATAGATCCTGCCCCTCCTTGTATGCCAGTCTTTCAAGTATTTGAAAAGTACTATCATAAATCCCTTCAGTCTTCTTTTTTCAAGGCTAAACATGTACATTTTTTCAGTCTTCCTGTCCCCTGATCATCCTTGTTGTCCTCCTTTGAACTTGTTCCCATTTGTTTGTATCCTTCTTGAAGTGTAGTGTCCAGAACTGTATACATTACTCAATATGGGGCCTAACCAATGCTGAATAGACAGAGACTAGTACTTCATAATGTTAATGCAGCCTAATATAACAGTTAATGCAGCCTAAAATAACATTAGCGTTTTTTGTAGCCACGTTACACTATTGGCTCATATTCAGCTTGTCTTCCAAGGTATTAGCTGTTCCACCCAATTTTGTGCCATCCTCAAATCTGGCAAGTATTCCTGGAACTCCCTCATTCAATTTATAAAAATGTTGAAGAGCACTGAGTCCAGGACAGCCTTGTTGTACCCACTTGTTACCGCCTCTCAATTTGAGAAGGAGCCATTGATAAGCACTCTCTGAGTACGATTCTGTACGAATCATGAGAAGTACTGGTGTAAAATCCTTGCTCAGATACAGTGCTCCTTGTCAGAATATGCAAATAACTTATTGTAAGGCTAATATGTCACATATTTCTACTGTGAAGAATAAGCATCCTCAGAAGAAATGTGGGACACAAAAAAGTCAAACTACTGAAACTGCATTTTGAAAATGGATTTACAACCTTAAAATCCTCTGCAAATATGGTTTGTATATGTTGGAGTTTTATTTGCAATCTCGCATGCTGTCTGTAGTACATGTCTGGGAGGGACTTTTCTGGACTGGGTTCATTATCTATTTATCCAGCATGAACCAATAGTCCCTTCCAGCCTCTGTATTCAAAACAAGCCCCGCCTTTCTGCTGAACTATCTTTCCTTCTCTTCAGTCTGTTGGTAGTACAGTGGGGTCTTGACTTGAGAACTTAATCCGTATTGGAAGGCAGTTCTCAAGTCAAAAAGTCTGTAAGTCAAGTCTCCATTGACCTACAGTGCATTGAAAACCGATTAATCTCGTAACAGGCCGTTTTTGTTCCATTTTGGTTTTTTTCTGGTCTGTAAGTCAATTCTCAGGCTGCAAGTCAAACCTAAATTTTGCAGCCAGAGAAGTCTGTAACTCAAAAAGTCTGTAAGTCAAGCCGTCTGTAAGTTAAGGGTCCACTGTAGTAGCTTTTCTGTTTGCTGTTGATCTTTTCAGTTGGTTGCTAAGTATGTGTGCAGTAAAGAAAGCAGCATACACAAGTCTGTAGTTTCAAGCAACTAAGAAATGTTTTTTACTCTTTCTGCTACAAATCTCTCAGAGTGGGTTATTAAGTGCTAGTTAATGACAAAGGTGTGGACTCTCTCGAACTTGTAGCTATTTTCCTCTGTGAGACCGTACTTCTGCTGCATAGCAAAAAAGTAATTTTTCCAGAAATTCAAAACTCTGCAACAGTATACACTTTGTTTGCATTCACAAAAAAGCAAAGTAAATGCTTACTATATTTCTGGAAGTGATTGCTTGATGGGAAAAATCATTCATTTTCTTGTTGTTATAGCGTTCATCCCAGATTGTCTTGCTCCACTCGTTCTGTTTCCTGAGAAATGAAGAAAATGATCTCTTGCTTCCTTTTACTTCTTGGGCTTTTTGCTGTCTCAGCCAGAGACAGACATATTCCAGGGACACTTAGGAATCAAAGAGATGATGCTCAATTATTAGGTAAGTTGCAGTAAGTTTTTACTTAGTGAGTTGCAGTGCATTTTTCTCAGGCTAAAAAGAACTGTGTACAATTTAGGAACCTTCGTAAGTACAATTGTGCTGTAATTTCAAAGAAAAAAGCAACCATTTCTATTAGTAGATAGTTGAAAATTAAGGAACTAAAATTCCATGCAGCCTTTACATTTGAAGTGTAGTATAATTTTTTTAAAGGGACTAGAGACAGGATTTATATGAAATATATTAGGACAAAACTGGATATCACATTCATATACCTGTGACATTATTATACCTGCCCTTTTTAAACAGGAAAAGAAAATGAATCTGGAGGGTCATATGGGACTGGACAATTGATGAAGGAACAGTTTGGATCAGGAAAACAGAAGGAAGGAAAATTGTTACGCCTTTGTTCTGTGTTTGCAGTCACTTATTCCCTTCCAGAAGTGTTTTTTATCATTTAAAAAGGCTTATCAGGATAATGTTACATGCATCTCCTGTGCATTGTCCAGTTTTGCATACAGATTGAAACATACTGGGAAAATACTATTGAGTGAGACTATACTACTGTACAGTATTTGAATTGCCTGCTACAGGCTTAACTAGGTGCCCTCGCACATCTTCTTGTTTCCACTGCTTATCAGTTTGTGATAAACATTGAATTATCAATAGATGATAAGGTGAAAAATAGAAAAATTTAGCCATGTAGTCTCAATTATTATTTCAGTTTGTGCTGCTTAATGTGGCTCTATTTGATAGAAATGTGAATAAATCTCAGTGAAAGAAAACTGTTTCCTGTTCCTTTCCCATTTGAATCAATTAATTTTAAGTCAAAGCTGAAATTGTGAACCTGTTTAAGTAATGCAAGAATTTTTCATTTCCATATGACATTTGCAAGTGTTTAAACACTGGCCGTGGCTTGGCCTTTTCATGTATACACTATATTATTTCTAGGAACTTATTTAGCTAATCATGGAACATAAACAATTATCAGCTTTGGAATTCTAACAGTCCTGGGGGAAGTAAAAATTACAGATGCTTGCCCTATGACTATTGGTGTTCCAAATTAATTAGTTCATAGGAAAGCTGGTGCCAACAATTGTTACCAGCCATGACGATGGCTCTACACAGACCTAGTTCATGAATGGGAGTGCAGTGGGAGGACATGCATATAGTTTTAAATGTGAAGCCAAGAACAGATCTTATCATTCTTTCCCTTTCTGGCTGTTTCTAAACAACTGGAAAACATACACACAAAGTTGTGCATTCAAAACTGGGTTTCACACTGATTGAAAACCTGTTGCACAGTTCCACGTGCTCAACAGTGAAAACAAAGATGATTTTGAGGGCACACATGACTTGTAAACAAAGTGACAAATGGACATGCAGTCAAACAACCTCAAAGGAAACCTTAATTTTTTGTTGCTGCCACTGTTGCTCATGTGGAAATGTGCAGTAGGATTTCAACCACTGTGTTGTGAAAGTATGGGTCAGCTACTCTTTTTCTGTGCTTTTTGAGTACTCCACATGGAACAAGGGTATATCATAATATGACCACATTCTGTCCATAGCAAAATCTGATTATATAACTACTGGAAAGCTTAGGTGGAAGATATGGTTGGTTTAAAAGTCCATGGCAAATGAAATATAAAAAACAGGAGCTTTCTTTGGGAAAAGGGATAAGATAGAACAACACATGGGGGAAGGAGATGTAACTGTGCTAACACAGCATAAGAGACAGTTGGATAGGTGTGAAGAATTGGTTTGCTAAGGGAATAAAAAAGAAGCTTTTATTGATAGTGAACTGATACAGCAAAACAATATCTATGGCCCTATATAGGAAGTAGATGGTGAATGGTTCCTTGTGTTCTCCTGACTCATATGCTAAGACAGTTCTTCAGAGACTTCTGCTAGTTTCCAAGTTTTTCTTCTTCCATCCAGTGGCCATAGTGATGCCATGATTGTCAATAAAGGCTAGAAGCTCCTGTCGGGTAGAAGAAGCCTGTGGCAGTTATCTGTGGAAAATATACAGTATTGGCAATGTGGTTTCTATTTACATGTAGCTGAGGAGAACAAAAACTAGCCTGAAAGATTTAAATGAAAATCATAACCCCAAATCATGGGCAGTTCATGAGCTGTTGTTTTTTGACCTTTTGAAATGTTTCAACTACATCTGAATCAACACAGAGAATTCCAGCCTGAGGCAGGGTTGGAAGAAAAAAAAATGAAATGGATTCAACTTTTCAGATTCAAGGCCAGACTCTCTAATTTGTGCCGAACTCCAGAGGTGACTTTAACAAAGTTTGGTCATTCATCTATATTTTAATGTAATTCCCCTTTCTCTGACTTCATTTCTATAAATATCTGTTGCATGTTAGCTGTGTATGATTACTGAGCCATAATTATTATTATTTTGTTTTCCTATAGATAAAAAAGAAAGAATTAGTCACAGCAGTGCAATAATAATAGGCTAATGCCAGCATTTCTGCATTTCATTAAGAACAGAATGCCATTTTTGCTCATTTTGGCCTAAGTTCAGCAACCTCTGAATCTGAAAAACTTAGCAATCTTTCTGTTCTTCTACGTGAGCAATACAGCAGCCTCCAAATTAATATATTCCTTACAGTTACTTCATAGACCACAAACCGCCTACTGTTCTGTGCCCATAAACCTCACTGGGTTTTGAGGAAACCTACTGAAAATTGGAGCAGTTTCACTGCAAGTTGCAGAGAAAACACAAGCAAAATTTCTGTAACTTGCAGAAATGTGAGCTAATATCTTTCAGCAATATGACTGCAATAAAACATGAGCAAAATAATGTAAATTTTCATTCATTTTACATCTCTTCAAACAATATACTGTATGTTGCCGTGCTATTACTTTAGTGATGGAGTAATAACTTCCAAAAATGCAGTCTATAGATAGGTATTGGTGATATCTGGACTGTATTTTACATCTTAGTTATACTAGTTCATAATATTGCTTTCTAGTTATATACCCCAATATACTAAACATTTTAGTAAATTTAAAATATATTCAAAATACTGAGTGATAAATTGCATGTGGATTGTATAGTTTTTGATGATTCTTAGTTTCTGCTTCTATTTGAAATGAATGCACTCATTTTGGTCAACTCAAATTAATTAAGGGGACAGGTTGTTTCATATGTTGCTGTGTGTTCTCATGTTGCTTTTGATGTCTGCCCATTACATCACACTGGTTCCTGTTTTATAAAGTGTATTAATAGTATTTGTTTTTTCTCTCTCTTCCAGAAAAAAATTGCAATAACAAACAGCTTGATCTTGTGTTCATCATCGATAGCTCTCGTAGTGTTCGTCCTTATGATTTTGAGAAAGTGAAAGAATTCATCTTAACTATTCTTCAGTTTTTGGACGTCGGTCCAGATGTCACTAGAGTGGGGCTTATCCAATATGCCAGCACAGTTAAAAATGAATTTTCATTGAAGACCTATAGGAGGAAACAGGATATGGAGAGAGCAGTAAAAAGAATGATGTATCTTGCTACTGGTACCATGACAGGATTGGCCATTCAGTATGCAGTAAACATTGCATTTTCAGAAACTGAAGGGGCTAGGCCACTAAGTCAGAATGTGCCCAGAGTTATCATGATAGTGACGGATGGAAGACCACAAGATCCTGTTGCAGATATTGCTGAAAAAGCCCGGAACTCAGGAATCCTAATTTTTGCTATTGGAGTGGGAAGAGTAGATATGAACACACTGAAGTCCATTGGGAGTGAACCTTATGAAGACCATGTATTTTTGGTTGCAAATTTCAGCCAGATTGAAACACTGACATCTGTGTTCCAGAATAAACTTTGTGGTAAGACAATGCAATGTATTTGTTAAAACTTTTGCTGATATTGTTTAAAAACTGTTAATATACCTTAAAAAGTAAAAAAGGTCAAACCTATGCATACACATGAACATATACATATTTGTGTTATGTGCCATCAAGTCAGAAGTGACATGTAGTGATCCTAATAGGGCTTTCAAGGTAAGAGAGATATTACAGTACCTTGAAAGTCCTAAAAGCACCAAGGAGTGGTTTTAGCAAACATGCCCCCAATAGTGAATTTCCAAGGCCCCCTGATTCTTAATTAGTCATTCTGTCCACATATGCACATACATGTACACACTGGAACCACTGATACGTTACTCGACCCTTGACTTACAGACAGCTTGACTTACAGACTTTTTGAGTTACAGACTTCTCTGGCTGCAAAATTTAGGTTTGTGTTACTCAAACATATATGTAACAATGTGTAATGTGTCACAGCTCTTAAAGAATTAAAATTCACACTGTATGCAATCATACCCAGATCGATAACTTCTTAAAACATTAACGTTGGAATTTGTTCTTAAATAAATAGGAAATACTGTACACATTTAGCATACTGTGAGTCCCAACGGCCCTGGCCTGGTCAATGGGTTGTTGGTGGTGGAATTCCTCCTCCATTCCCATTCGAAAACAAATGGTTCGCACAAAACAGGGTTTATTCCAACTGCGAAGTGAGATACAACAAAATATATTTAGCCCAATCAGTTTTCTCTAGGGCTAGTTAACTGCAGGAGCTCTGCTGACTCAGCACTGCTTTTCTCTCCAGCCCAAGTTGACTGTGTAGTGTTCTGGAAGTCTATATTTCTGTTCAGTCTGGGATGCCATGTGGGTCCAAATGTTGAGGCACACAAAAATGTTGAGTGTGGGCAAAGCCTGTGATGCATCAAGCTCTGGTTTGTTCCTCAAGTTGGAGTCAATGTCTGAAACTGTTCCTCTCTGAGGTGAGATGCTGATGCTCTTTCTGGCATTTTCTCCCTTAGTGTCAGAGTTAAGGCAGCATCAGCTCCCTTGTTCCCTAGTTGCTATTGAGGGCCATAAATCAGAAGTATCTTGAAAGCATATCACATACGTAATCTAATACATTGTTTTTCTTTTTCAGTTGGACACATGTGTAGTGTAACTGAACATGGTTGTGACCACTTCTGCATCAACACACCAGGCTCTTACGTATGTAAATGTAAACAGGGGTATACTTTGAACTTGGACCAGAAGACGTGCAGGAGTGAGTTTTCCATGTTACTTTCATTAAATCTTATTAAGTATTTATATTAGAGGTGGAAAATCAGTATGATCTCAGTATAATAGTTGAGAAAGTATTTGACATGGATGTGTTTAGAGTCTTTTTGGAGGACTAAGGTGGGATCAGAGTTATCTCAGTTTTCATAACATTTCTTATAAATGTAATTGATTACATAAAATGTTTTTGTGTATATGTCTAGAAAATAGTGTTTTATTTTTCTGTGCCTAAGAAATACATAAATTGCTATAGGAGGAAATACATCTAATTCTTCCCCACTTTCATTGCTTCCTCATTCTCATCTGAATACAGTGGTGCCTTGACTTACGAACGTCCCTATCTATGAACATTTCAACTTACGAACAGCTCTGGCCACAAAATTTTGCTTCTAGTTGCGAACGGAGCTTTGATGTACAAACAGAAAAAGGCAGGGAAAAGAGGTGGGAAATTCAAATGTACTAACCATTGATGGTGAAGAGGCCGCTTCTTTGTAGCACTTTCACCCCAGCAGTTAAGGAAAGGGATGCGGCAGCAGGGTGGCCCAGAGCCTGGAGGTTGAGCCTGGCTGGGCGCTCGTCGCTGCCCTCTGCCATTTGAATTTCTCGCCATCGGCCTGCAGAAGGCGGCGAGGAGCGCCGCCCCTGGCCTTGTTGGAGCCCATTGGGAGGCGAGCAGCTGTGGCGGTCACAGTGGCAGTGGAAGCCCAGGGGGCTGAGGAGGCTTCGGACCAGTAAGGTGCTGCTTGCCTCCCAGCTGGCTACAATGAGGCCTGCATTGGCACTCTTTGCCGCCCTCCGTGGGCTGATGCCGCCGCTTGTACCTCCAGCTCTGGAATCAGCACCAGCGGCTGCTCGCTGGGGTGGACGCATCGGTCCTCAGCACTCCTCGACGCCATTTAAATTTCCCACCATTGGCCCGCGGAGGGTGGCAAGGAGCGCCGAGGACCGACGTGGCTGCCCTGGTGAGCAGCCGATGGTGCTGGTTCCGGAACTGGAAGCACCAGCAGAGGCATTGGTCTGCGGAGGGCAGCAAGGAGCGCTGACCCCAGCCTCGTTGGAGCCCGTTGGGAGGCGAATGGCTGCGGCAGTCACAGCGGCAGTGGAAGCCCAGGAGATTGAGCCCTGAGAGGCTGAGGAGGCTTCGGACTGGTAAGGTGGGCAGCCATGCAGCAATAACAGCAGCCACCTTCCAGAGTGACTTGGCTTTAGAAAAGAATAGATAGGGCCGTGCACACATACCATTGACCTAAGGAAAAAAATTAATACATTGTAGGAACAAAATAATATGACTCTTCCACCAAGGAGGAAATAAACTGCAGTTCATGCTACAGAGAAATAGCAGTTCCTTAAATCTTAGACTCTCACTGCTTGTCATCCTGTAAGTGTTACTGCTGTCTCATGGTTTGCAAGTTAGTCTGTTTTCTTCTATGCTAGGTCATCGGGAGTTTAAACACCAGTTTACTATCCATTCTGATAGCTCAGATAGGATATTTGGAGAGGATTCCGAAGTTAACTCACTAGCGTGCAATCACATGCTAAGTATACTATGAATCAATGATTTTCAGTGAAATAGACAGAAACCTCCTTTTGGTCTCATTTCATTCCCTGAGGTCAAATTATTGATCTACCACGGAGTTCACAAAGTTATTGACCTCTTATAACTGCCCTTTAGTTTTAGCATCCAGTCCTACTTCTTGCTTCTTTTCTGGGGATTCAACAGACAAATCCGCCTGGAGTTTCTCTGGCTGGCATGTCTGTTTGTTTCCAAACAAAAGCAAGGGCAGGTGATGCCTTAATTAATGATTAATATATTTATTAATTCAATTTGTATACCATCTCATTAGTGCAAGCATTATACTCTGTGGTTTACACAAGGGTAAAAACTCAGAAACCCTAAATACTACGCAGTAACTAAAAATATAATTACAATAATACAGCAACAGAACAGACAATAATTATAACCAAAAATTATGAACCGCCCTATGAAAAATCTAAAATTGATTAAAATATTTTTTTAAAATCACAACATTATTGATAACACTCAGAAGATTCAGTAGATAAAGGCAGCTTTAAATACTTCAGTCTTTATATACCACCCATCTGGCAGCCAGGGGAGACATGGGCTTTGACAAAAGCACAAATCAAATCAGCCAGAAAACCCTGAAGGACATTCTGGAAACCAATTAGAACCATCAGTCTTCAGGGTGGAGCATTTTAAGAGGTCTGTCCACCCCACAGAGGGGCACTGTTCTAGCAGGTCAATCTCTCAGCATGATCTGGTCATGATAAGGCAGAAGACTCAACGTCTAGCACCTTCGGATCATCCTCTGTCTGCTCAGACACGACCACCAGGTCCAGGATGTGTTCTGCCACATGTAGGACCCATACCATGTTGGGACAGGCCCATAGACACCATAGAATCCACAAACTCCAAGGCCACCCCAAAAGCCTGCTGCTGTGCAGAGATGGTAAAGTCCCCCCAAAGCAAAAGTCTGGGAGACCTCAACAATGCACCAGAGACATACGCCTGGTAGACAGAGCATTGAGTTGCAGTTTGAGTGGTACACCAATGCAATGCACACTCTGTCCCTCTGGTCCAGCAAGAAGATAAGACATTTCGGGCTCATACAAGAATGAGCAGAGCTCCTGCTGATATTAATAGAATTTCTATGGACTATGGCAACAGCCCTCCTGCTCCCTCTGATCTGCCATTATGGCAAATCAAATATCTTGGGGGCATACTGGGAAAGGGCAATCCCACCTTCCTGACTCACCCAAGTTTCAGTTATACAAACCAGGCCAGCCTTTTGATCTACTATAAGCTCAAATACTAACAAAGATATCAGTCCCATTTGGCATTTAGCAGCAGCATGTGCAGATTAGAAGGTAAGCTGATAAGGCTACCTCAGTTCTCCCGACTGAGAGGAGGACTAGGGCATACAACAAATATTAAACATCTGGATATTAAGTGTCATAATTGTGTGCCACCAAGTCAGTTCTGACTTACGTTAATTCTTTTCCTGGTTTTTTTCGTAGACAGCGCTCATACCATTCCCTTCTTCTGTTGGCATCCTGGGAATACAGTTTGCCCAAGGCCACATAGGCTAGCTCTTCTGGGATGCAAAATGAGGACCTGAACTCCCAAAATCTGGCTCTACAGACAGATGCCTAACTCATTGAGTTGTCCAGCCAGCTGACACCTTTATTAGATCACTAAAAAGTAAATAAATACAAATTGCTAGTTTTTGACATATACCAGTCTTCATCAGGCCATGAGCTGACATATTGTTGAAACTGCAGAAAAAAATATATGTGAAAGTCCCAAAAGCCATGACAGATGTCTGTGCCAGGCCTGTTTCTTAAAGATGTGTTACAAATATCAGTCAGGAGTGTAGTTTTCAAATTCCACCCATGGTGATGTTTGACTGGATTCTCTCTGACAAGTCATCAAACAAAGGACCGCAAGGTAGTCAGCATTCTGCCCTCTCCCATCACTGAAATAACTCTTAGTATTTCTGTGACACCCAAGTCTATCTTGCATTACAGTTTGTCACCGCAGCTGGAGCCTGCAACCTGAAGTAATTAGCAACTTGATAGTTCCATTCTGTTTGTGGCATCTACTGTGAATTGAACAAACTGCAATGCACAATATTGCTAAGATAAAGATAAAAGTTAGTCACCAAAATAGTTCTGTTTGTTGGAGTTAGCTTCCTGTTTATATGAGCTTGAATGATTTAGTCTTTCCTTGATTAAATCATTCCTGGGAATGGGATTAAAAAAGCAGAACTCTTTGGACATGCTTCCAGGGTAGTATACATAAAGATAACACAGAAAAACAGAATCTTAAAACTGTAGTCCCCAAATACTGGATTTTTGTATACGTCTTTGCTCTTGAATGTTCAGGACAATTCAAGGTCAAATATGTGGTCTTCAAATGGCTCTGGAGAACTAAATCACTTTTGTTTATATCTTCAGACAATGCACTGTCAACACAAACCAGATGTATTTAGCTAAATGCTAGCATTAGTTTTTAATTCGCTTCCACACTAAGGGTTGAGTCCTCAAATTGTTTGGCCTCTTAATTTCTTAGAACACTGACCATAGCACAAATATCATTTGATTTACCTAGAATCTTGAAATGACTTTTTCTGCCATTGTTTCTGCAGTTAAAAAGGGGGGAAATGATCAGTTTGCCAACCAATTACCACTACAAAGAAAACATCTGCACCTGCACAGGTGACCCCAAATGAACCAAATAATTTCTGCACTTGGACAAAATGGAAACAGAAGCTGTGCTCTTGCAGACATTTCCCTGCAACCAAAGCAGGGCTTCTTTCTCAATAGATGTCTGTATGATGTAACAGCAAATTGATGAAAACATAGAACAAGACATTTCAAGGAATGAGATGCTGGAATCTCATCAACAGAGAGATCTGTCAACGTTTAGTCCTTCCTACTATGAGAATTATTTAGGACACCTTTAGAAATTGATTATTCTCGTTTTCTATTTTTAACCGTACCGAAAGGCTAGAACTCCTTGCCTAAGAAAGCATGGGTGCCCTCACCCTTTTTAATGATGTGCCATCTGCTCAAAATTAGTTTTCTTACATAGGTTTTGTTTCATTATGTAGATGCCACTTTACTATACTGTGCATATCTCAGTTTTCATTGCAGTGCATATTTTTTGGAAGAATTTTATTTAGCACCATAAGGCCAGGACAAAATTTTATGTAGAAACAAACATAGGTAAAAGTAAAGGTTCCCCTTGACATTTAGTTCAGTCGTGTCTGACTCTAGGCTGCGGTGCTCATCTCCGTTTCAAACCCATAGAGCTAACATTTGTCCACAGACAATCCTCCGTGGTCACATGGCCAGCGTGACTAGACATGGAACGCCATTTACCTTCCCACCGAGGTGGTACCTATTTATCTACTCGTATTTTGCATTTTGCATGCTTTCATACTGCTAGGTTGGCGGGAGCTGGGACAAGCGACGGGGGCTCACTCCGACGCATGGATTTGATCTTACGACTGCAGGTCTTCTGACCTTGCAGCACAGAGGCTTTTGCGGTTTAACCTGCAGCACCACAACATCTCTGGAAACAAACATACATACAAACAAATAAAATATAAATTTGGAAACAATATATTGGACCATTAAAATTCCCTTTTCTTAGAATACGTAAGTGATCAATGATCACATTATTTGTGTAAGCAAGCAACTCCTTCTTCTACTAAATTTCTAATTTATATTAGGAGTTACATCTAGGCTTTTCAAACATTAGTGCTACATATTGAGTTTTAGTTTGAACTCTGATTTAGAAAAAAAAGGGGGGGCTTTAATGAAGCAGTTTATACAGTATATGTTAGACTTGAGTTTCAAATGACTTGTTTATATTAATGTATCTCACACATTCATCTGTAGATCTGTCCAAATCTCCCAAGCATAAATATCAGTCCCATCTGGAGGCTATAAAAACAATCTGGGCAAGCAAGGGTGATTTGGAATATACAAAATAATGCCTTTTGTTAATAAAAACAACAAAGAATCTTGTGGCACCCTAAAAACCTAAAACAAAAACCATTTTGCACCATCCAGAAGCAAATCTGGCCTTCAGCTAGATACTGGCCAGAATGTGAAATCATCTGTATGTTTCTTTCAACTGTATAGTACTATGCCGCATCCACATCTACTGTCTGTCTATACAAGAAGACCTTCTTTCTCTATGAGTACTCAAGGATATAAGTTCATAAGGGTTCTGGGTGGCCCCAAAGCACCAATTAGCACACTACTCCTTTGGATATTAATGGTACTTTAGCCCACTTTTTACACTTCTGTTATTTACATTTAACAAGCTCTTATGGATTAATTATATTAGTGCAATTAACATCGCTTCTAGATCAATTCTAGATTGATAGAGACAAGATGTCCCAGCAAGAAGCCCACTTTTTACACTTCCGTTATTTACATTTAACAAGCTCTTGTGGATTAATTATATTAGTGCAATTAACATCGCTTCTAGATCAATTCTAGATTGATAGAGACAAGATGTCCCAGCAAGAAGCCCACTTTTTACACTTCCGTTATTTATATTTAACAAGCTCTTGTGGATTAATTACAGTGGGGTCTTGACTTAAGAACGGCTTGAGTTAAGAACATTTTGACTTAAGAACCACTCTCATAGGAAAATATTGACTTGACTTACATACTTAGATTTGAGTTAAGAGCTGAAAAAAAACCACGTGGGAGGCAGGGAAAGTGCAAAATGTGAACTTTCAATTAACTGTTGGCCAGTGAAAAGGGTGCCTGTCTGCTTCCTCACTCCTCCCAGCGTTTAGAGAGTGGATTGGGAGACAGTCTTCGGACTGCCTGGTACTGTCCTGCCTGGACTGTATTTTCCCTGCCTTCCCTGAACCTTTCTTGACCTAAGAAAAAAAGAAACAAAATATCCCCCTCTAGTGGTCGAAGGCAGAATAGCAGCTTCCCATTAGTTTCTATGGACGGAAAAGAGCAGATACGGATCAAATGGTTTTCAATGCATTCCTATGGGAAATGCAGATTTGACCTGAGAACTTTTTGACTTGAGAACCGCCTTCCAATACGGAGTAAGTTCTCATGTCAAGACCCCACTGTATATTAGTGCAATTAACATCACTTCTAGATCAATTCTAGATTGGTAGAGACAAGATGTCCCAGCAAGAAGCTTGTCCATTAATCTCTTTTCACTAAGGAACTCTGGGTAAGCTTCAGAAGTCACAGAAACTGAAGGTGTGCTTGGAGCATTTCTACACCTGGGCATACCAGAAAGTCAGTTTAGGCACTATAACAAAAGTTGTGTTCATTTTTACAAACAGTGTCTCTACGACGATTCTCTCAGTTGCCAGATATTGTTATAAGAGATTACTTAGACAAAAAGGAAGAATAGAACTGATGATGAGACATTATGCACTTTTGCCTGGGATAACACCCTTTGAATAGGATGGGACTTCTGAATAAAAAAGTACAGAATTTAATTGACAATTGGAATTGAATATCCTCTGCATTAAACTGCAATTAAATATTTTTCAACAAAAATACAATTTTGAAAGTGTGCAAAAATAATGTTCATGTTTTATATTCCATATTTTTATAAATGAAATAAACATCATGTTGTTCTCTCTGATCTTATAATTTAACATTTTTAGAGGAGTCATATATCTTGTTCATCTCTCTTCTATCCTCTTGTTTGATTATACAGTTTTAAACTGTTTTTTCAATCTGAAGTCCAAAAACTGAAAAGCAAACAAGTGACAGTAACATCTCATTATAGGATTATATTTTACAAATTATTACTTGTTGCAGCCCAGGACCTATGTGAAGTCAGAAAGCACGACTGTGAACAAATATGTGTGAATACACCTGGATCCTATGTCTGCCAATGTTACAATGGTTACAAACTCCAGAAAGACGGGAAGCACTGTTTCAGTATGTATCTGATTTCCGTTGCTTTTTCCAAAAAAGAAAGCTGTTTTCAATGTGATGTTTTAAGATTTCTTGCATGTCTTATGTGCCATCAAATCAGAACCACTTTAGAGAAACTCTACTAAGTCTTTCAAGGTAAGTAAAACATTTAAGGAGTGTTTTTACCAGTTCCATCTCCTGAAAATCTTTTCCCCATAGCTCCTCAGATTATATAATAAATTACTCTCAAAAAGTCTTCTTAGATTCAAAAATAATTTACTATGCAGCATGGAGTTGTGACAACCAAGAAACGTAAGTGTGAATCTTCCATGAGTATGTGGAACCAATTCTAATGAGAGACTTCACTACAGGAAAAAAATGACTACAAAAATCTTGATGTAACGAAAGCACTCAAGACTGCTTAGGTGGTAGAAAACACATCCCAGGTAGCATTTTTCACAAGCTGAAGGGCGTTGGTGGTGGCGTAAAACTCTTGGCCACGTCAAACAAACAGTATTAATGGTTCTTTGTGCAATTAATGAGAGAGGCTGACTTAGAAATCTCCTTATGCTGAGTTAGATTATTAGCCCACCTAGCCAGCATTGCTGATACTACTGTAACTGACAGTGGATCACCTGGGGTTTAGACAATTCTACCTAGAGGATTTTCCAGGAAATGCCTGCAGCTTATCATGTGCTTTAGCACTGAATTACGTTATAAACTGTATTGTGTATGTAACAAATAGTTTATAATGCCATGGGTTAGTGAGCTGTTGACTTGCCTTTTCTGGTTTCTTAGTAGAGTGTCTTCCTATTTCATGACGGGGGGTTTCTTGATGCTAGGGATTTGTCTTTTCTACTCCCCATTTTCATGGAGCCTGCATAAAAGGATAGAACAGCATACTGATTCCATAATGTATTCAACTTCCTTTTTTTAAAGGCTCATAAACATAGCCACATCCCAAGACTTCTCCCATTTTAAGCAAAACAGCTTTCCACAGCTGTATGCTCTCTCCAGCTATCTTCACTTTGAAAGTCTGAAACTCATAAAACTCACTGCTCTTACAATAACAGCTGTTTTATGTTACCACTTTGCATGAGAAATTTGTTGTTCATAATTGCAATGAATACTTTATGTGCATGTTCCAGCTGCTAAATGCACAAACAATTTTTAATAATTGCATGTATTTCCATTGTAAAGGTACCCATAGTGCATTCGTTTGTTTGTTTAAGCATTTCAGTTGTTTGAATATTGCATGTTCTAGGTCTGATTGATATCCTTAAAATCAACCAAAGATAATCTATTTTTCTAAAATGTACTATTTGTTCTCATGAGGTTGGATACAGTCATGTCATTTTTGTTACTGGAAGCAGTTTCAAAAGTGATTCCCCCACTCCTCTAAGTGGATGTCCTCAAAATCTTTACTAGATAGCTTAAAAAGGTTGTGGAGCATGTTTTGGGTGGTTTGCACAATAATTGGTGAACAAGAAGTGCAGAAAATATTGCTCCTGGGCTGGCCAAGGAAAATACTCCTGAGGGGACACATTCATGATCAGGTCATGGAGATATCTTTACTTTTTTCCTATAATCTCCTTGCTGCATAGAGTTATAGTAAAACTTCAGCAGGAAGTATCCAGTGACATCCAGATTGCCCTGTGGTGGCCACAATAACCCTGATTTGTGGCGCTAAAGCTCATGGCAGCAGACTTTTATCAGTTGCCCATCACTCAGAAGTTGATCACTCAGAGCATGGACAAGATCCATCACCCAGATTCAGTCTGGGAGAATTCAAGGAAAATTCTCCAACAATAAAACACATTGTTTCCCAGGCCAGGAAACCATCCACCAAATACAGCTATTCCTGTAACTGTAAGAGGTTTGTGCATTATGCAAAGTCTAACAGACTATCTCATCATCCACCTAGTCCCCACACTGTATTATGCTTCCTCTTACAGCTGAAAGAGCAAAGCCTGTGTCATTCCTTACATCAAGTGTATCTATCAGCCACTGATGTGCATCAGTCCAAGGGATCCACAGCCTCTCAATTTTTCCAACATCCAACCCTCAAAAAGTTCATGAAAGGTTTGAGAAACATTTGTACAGATGTCTAGCCTCCACTGACTCAGTGGTCCTCAGTCAACTCAAACAGCCGGTCTTTGAGCCTTTGGCAACATCAGATTTCAGACTTCTGTCACATAAAACTCTATTTTTAGTCCCCATTGCCTCTACATTTACAGCAAATGAGCTCGCTGCTGTCAGACATGACTCCCCTTTTCTTATGGCTGCACAGAGACAAAGTCACCCTTTTCCCAGATATTTCTTTCCTTCCTAAAGTGGTGTCATATTTTAAACTTAACCAGTCCCTTGTGCTGCCAACATTCTTTCCATTCTCCTTCTTAGAACTGGAGAGATCTCTGCAAATGTTGGATGTCCGGAACGTGCCCATGCGTTCTGTATTTCTAGAAAAGTCAGTCTGTTCATCAGCTACCAAGGACCTAAGAAAGGCCATCATAGTACACCCCAACATATCTCTAAATGGATTGTCAAAATAATTGCCCTTGCTTACCAGCTAGCTAAAAAACGTCTCCCTGACTCTTTGAGAGCACATTCTATGAGAACTGTTGCTACATCCACAGCTTTTCTTAAGGATGTTCAGCTATCTGATATCTGCAAGGCGACAACATGGTTGCAGCCCTCAACCTTTCTTAAACATTACAGACTAGATGTTAGAGCATTTAGCAGAGTGGTGATCTCCCCTATTTTGCCATGACATCCCAGCTGGTAAGTGACCTTGTCAGTCACCCATATGTGTGATTCACAGAAACCATGAAGAAGGACAGGTTACTTACCTGTCATTGTAGTTCTTTGAGTGGTTATCTGTGAATTTACACAACCTACCTATCCTCCCCTCAGTCTTTCATACCAGATTGATTTTTTCTCTTGACAGCAGCAGCCTGAGGGAACTGAGGATTCATGGGGGAGGGGGCAGAACATGCACACTGTGGGGGATCAGTTACTCCTTAGGCTCTGGAATGTTCCAAGGGAGTTTCCCACTGGCGCAAAAGGAGCCCATATATGTGAATTCACAGATGACCACTTGAAGAACTACAGTTACAGATAAGTAACTTGTCCTTGCAAGTGCTGCAAACTCCAGAAAGATCATCTGGAATATGTACTTATGTCCAGCAGGGGAGAGGGAACTTTTATACGTGAATACTGGCAATATTGGTTAAGAATGTCCCCTCTGTTTCTATTATTTTTAGCTAAAGTGTAATTTGCTGCATGGCATCAACTGCTGCAATGCAGAAAAAATGTTTTTGTTAACATTATCTGTTTCAAACGAAGAAACTGATGATAATGTTGAAGTATTAGATGCATATGACATGACTCTGACACTTGGATCAGACTAGTGTTGGAAAGGTCTGTTGGAAAGATCTGAAGGAAAAATGGTTCTTTTCTATTTATATACAATACGTCTTTTCTCTGCTGGTGAATAAATGTGCCAGATAAAGTTTCGAGGCCAAATTTTACCTATTTTCAAAGGCCTACTATTAACTGTGCCTGAATATATTCATTTTGCTCCTCTGAACAAACAGTAAATCATAGTGAAATCAACCCACAGCGGTACTGAAATTATTGAGACAATTGATAATTGATTCTGGCAGTGGTTCTTAACCTTTGTTACTCAGGTGTTTTTGAACTGCAACTCCCAGAAGCCCCAGCCAGCACAGCTGATGGTGAATGCTTCTGGGAGTTGCAGTCCAAAAACATCTGAGTAACAAAGGTTAAGAACCAGTGCTGTAGAGCAGCAAAAAATTAACATACATCTAACTTAATGTTTTTTCAATTAATACTGATGCAAAATAGTACACTGGATGAAACTGAAATAACATTACTGCATTACGTGTTTGTTTGTGTGTGTGTGTGTGTATAAGATCACAAAAATCTTATATGTCGATATGTATGCTGTCTGTTGTAGCCCACTTACAGATACAAATTTGTCTGTATGGTGGCAGAGTGCTATTGTATTTATGTGCTGCTTGAATATTGGTACAGTGGAAAAGTTCTGGAAAGGTTTGAAAGAAAAATGGTTCTCTTTTATTGTTGTCCTCTTTGTGTGCTTTACCAGTGGAGTGCAACACACTTAATGGACACCCACTCCTTAGCCAACAGCTAAAATTGAGGAAAACCTTTCTGCACATATCTCAAGCTCGAAGTGTTAGACCAGAAGAGGCTAGGTTAAACCTATAGAGAACAAAAACATCACACCTTGCCGAATGGATGAATGCTGAAGAGTGTCTTCCAACAGAATAAGATTCTTTCTGGACCATCTGGAAGTCACTTAATAAACTCTGAAGCAAAATAGAAAAATCAAAGAATAATCAAGCAAAAGAGGGTTACTTGGATACAAGACAATTTTTCTGTGGCTATGGAGAAATTCAATCAATGCAGCACCTATGTGCATGCAATTTATGTCCCACCACATGTGAAGAAAATCTAGCAAATAGCATAGTGAATGTCCAAAGTCACCCAGTGAGCTTCATGGTCAAGTGAAGATTTAAACCCAGGCCTTGCTATTTTTTGTCTGATATGCTAATCACTTCACTAAACATGAACTCAGTGAGAAATATTTTATTGAAATGTTAAAGAAATGATGGTCTTGTATTTGTTACTTATAGCCCTACACTAAATTGTGCTTGTGATATGGACCATACCATAGAAGATAGTTTGTCAAATATGTATGCATGCTGCTATCTTTCCAGTTCTTTAGGTAAAGGTAAAGGTTCTCCTTGACATTTAGTCCAGTCGTGTCCGACTCTAGGGCGTGGTGCTCATCCCCGTTTTCAAGCCATAGAGCCAGTGTATGTCTGTAGACAATTTCCGTGGTCACGTGACCAGCGTGACTAGACACAGAACGCTGTTACCTTCCCACTGTGGTGATAGCTATTTATCTACTCATATTTTTATATGCTTTCGAACTGCTAGGTTGGCAGGAGCTGGGACAAGTGACCAGAGCTCACTCC